CACAGTCTTAAGCTGCACGATATCGCCTTACGGCTAATTCGTTGTTTTTCTGAGTGAGAGAGGTTAAAATATCGTACGATTATTGTCTAGTCTCCCGTTTTTTTTTCTATTTCCTATTGCCTTTTATCCACATACGTGTGTCACATTTTTCAGGCTTTGGCCAACGCGACCGAGGATGAGCTTGTCGATTTGGCCGCCGTGCTCGGTTTCACCGGCATGCTTAATCAAGTCCAGTATCATGCTAGTATGGAAAATCGTAAACTGGAAGGTGGAGGTTTCTCTGGTGTCGCGAAGGCCGAACGTCCCAAACCTATTCCGAATGAACCACCGAATACGACGGATGTGGAGGTACTGTCTAGGTTCTCCTTTTTCCACGGCTATAACACCTTGGTTTATACCTCTCCTTCCCCACCTCATCCTCCATCATCACTTCTATCCTAAAGCATAATCGCCTTGTCCATAGGCATTGTAACCTTCATTACTGTTGCTAAAACGCGCTAGAAATCGGTTTTTGTATCGTGAGTTACTGTTTGTTTGACGAGTAACTGAACAATACTAACAGTATTCGATTAGAATATCGTTTGGCAGATCATTCGTGATGGAAATAGGCTCTGGTGATTCGGGTAAATCGAATTGAATTTCCCCGAAATGTGAAAATAAATGAAATTGTTCGTATTTGAGACATCACAGTTCCATACTGAGTGCTCGAAAACGCTTTGGTTTACTTCATAGTATTTCACATACCTTTATAATCGATAAATTAATTTTTCCAACACGATTAGGTCACGTGTTGATTTGAAACCTAGCAAATCGGGCAAATCCAGTAGAAACGTGCTTGCTTCGGCTATGAGCATGCTACTTGATCCCCCCTGACCATAGAAACTTGAAAAAACATGTCCGCGCAGAAAAAAGTCAGCAAAATGATACAATGTAAGGGATTACTCATCAAGCTCACCCACCACCCAGATGCAGTTGACTGACAGTCGATTGAAAGAAGTTGACAATGGTTATCACGAACTGTGCCACATTGCATGTACCTTCTATTCCCACACTTACCCCATACTCCAAACACAGTCGCATAACTTCTTCAACTGTCCCCACCTCATTCATGATCACGAAATCTCCACTGTCACGCATTAGTGATTGTGAGACTTGTGACTGCTCCCAGTGGGCGTTTTCACCTTGTTCACACGTGTCATCATCAGTGCGTACTCTCTCTCGCTGGTCTGTAACAACTCGCCTGTGTGAGCGTTTGAAACACTCGTGACTTGTACAATTCCACGGCGACTTTGTACACGCGTTTTGCGAGGAGCGAATGTATATATATATATATATATATATTTCACAATAAGCAGTGTGACTGACTGGACAAGATTTCCCTGGAAACACACGACCGGTTTCGCGATTCTTGCTGCTCGTTAAGCATGCATATCCAGTAATCTTTTGCCAGTTCATACATATGATTGTACCCAGGAAGTGTATTTTCGTCACAACAACCTTGTTTGCAACACCGGGTGACCATTGGATAGACAGTTCTTTCAGAGCCAGTCCATTGGAGAATCAATGCTATGATTCGATGTTTTGTAGGTTGGTGCTTTCCGGGAAATTTTGTCCAGTCATTCACTTACTACTTATTGTGAAATATTCTACTAAGACCATGAGGTCACGTTTGTTGCGGTTAGCAGCACCTAACCCACTTACAAAACATCGAATCATGGCATTGATTCTCCAATATACATATATATATGTACATATATATATATATATATATATATATATATATATATATATATATATATA